TAACTAATTACGTTACTTAGTTACTTTTTATGGAAAGTAATGCGTTACGTTACTTTTGCGTTACTTTTTAAATCTGGGCAGGGCTTGCTTGTTTGTTTTTAAAATAAAAAAGTTTTATTTTTGGCAAATATAAAAGCCTTTTCACACCAAAAGTGAAATGAATAAGCCTCAGGCTGAAGGAAAAGTAAAGTTACGTCCGTACAGTAGAATGCAGAAGACATTTCAACACACTACAGCAATAAACAAAGACACACAAATGTGTGTCTAGAGTAATTTGTGCTTATTAGTACGCTTGAACTGAATCATCGAAGCTCAGAAGCAAAGACATTGCTTTATAGAATGGTATTAAATACATAAAGGTTATTTGTGTTGTTTAACATTTATTTATTGCAGGTTTGCGTCATATTCTGAGTTGCATTATTTTTATTCATTTTGAGGAATACTGAATCTGTGTTTTTTTGTGTGTGAGTGAGATGAATTAATGCATATTCATATTTATTTTAGAACTACAGTAACATCTGATTTCTCTCAACATGGGGACAGGAGAGCTGTCAAAAAGTAAAAAAGAAAGAAAGTAACTTGCGTTACTTATTTGAAAAAGTGACTCAGATATTCTCTTGTAAATTAAAAAGTAATGCGTTACTTTACTAGTTACTTGAAGAAAGTAATCTGATTACGTATCTCGCGTTACTTGTAATATATTACCCCCAACACTGGTTAGGAATTATAACATAACATGGTACTTTCCTTAAAGTGACAGCAGCCATTACAATTTAGTCAGAAACACATCCAGTGTGTCTGAAATCGCATACTGAAATCGTCTGAGTAGGTACTATATTTGAATTTGAATTTACTTCACGACCATTAAAAAAGTATGTTCTATATAGTGTGAATATGGGTAGTATGAATGAATGCCTGCATCCCAATATGCACACGATCCATGCTATCCATGATTCAAATGAGTCATTTTCAATACTATTTAGGGCAGATAGGGTGGATAGTATGCACATTGGGACGCAGGGAATGATATTCGGACATACTACATCCACCATGTTGTTACTGTCACCTGCGTCAGTTGGGTCACTTCACTGCCTTTCATAAATCCTCTCCCGTGGCCTCATGGGATAGTAAAGTGTCCATGCAATGCACACTTCAGAATCCAGGAGGAAGAGGTAGGTCATCCGGGTACTTTTCACCTACTGTTTTTCGAATACTATGAATTTGGACATACTACTCACCTCACATACTGTTTTTCACATACTATATATTAGGGAAGTATGCGTTTTCAGACACAGAGATACTGTTTTCGTTTTTTATAAATAAATAAATAAAATATTAATAATAATAAAAACACATACATATAAACAACTAAACAATAGTTCAAATTATCTTCCTTCTTCCTTATGACAAAATCAAGGATACAGTGGGGGAACTATACAAGAAAAAAAAATGAAATCCTCCATGAAATCTAACAGTATGTCATTATTTTTGTTGTTAATTTGCATTAGAGACTCTTTCAAAGATTCAATTTCTAATAAAAAAAAATACATTTTGGAATGCATTTTTTTTTTTTTTTTAATGAATGAAATTTTTACCTTGCAAAATGTAAAAGATAACGACATACTCAATCACTTTGCTTTTGTGCCGCTTATGAAAGTTGCCTTTATATGTTCGTGTCAGGTGATACATGTTACATTTCTCATCGCTTGTCATGATGGACCAATCACAGCCGTTGCATTTCTTAGATAAGACCTGCTGGTCGATTAGAATTTTTATATGAGACATAAAACTGTTAAACTAATAATTTATTTAATTATATGTTTAATTCTACAAATCTGTCCAATAGCCAAGTCATGCTAAAATCATCGAAGCTCAGAAGCAAAGACATTGCTTTATAGAATGGTATTAAATACATAAAGGTTATTTGTGTTGTTTAACATTTATTTATTGCAGGTTTGCGTCATATTCTGAGTTGCATTATTTTTATTCATTTTGAGGAATACTGAATCTGTGTTTTTTTGTGTGTGAGTGAGATGAATTAATGCATATTCATATTTATTTTAGAACTACAGTAACATCTGATTTCTCTCAACATGGGGACAGGAGAGCTGTCAAAAAGTAAAAAAGAAAGAAAGTAACTTGCGTTACTTATTTGAAAAAGTGACTCAGATATTCTCTTGTAAATTAAAAAGTAATGCGTTACTTTACTAGTTACTTGAAGAAAGTAATCTGATTACGTATCTCGCGTTACTTGTAATATATTACCCCCAACACTGGTTAGGAATTATAACATAACATGGTACTTTCCTTAAAGTGACAGCAGCCATTACAATTTAGTCAGAAACACATCCAGTGTGTCTGAAATCGCATACTGAAATCGTCTGAGTAGGTACTATATTTGAATTTGAATTTACTTCACGACCATTAAAAAAGTATGTTCTATATAGTATGAATATGGGTAGTATGAATGAATGCCTGCATCCCAATATGCACACGATCCATGCTATCCATGATTCAAATGAGTCATTTTCAATACTATTTAGGGCAGATAGGGTGGATAGTATGCACATTGGGACGCAGGGAATGATATTCGGACATACTACATCCACCATGTTGTTACTGTCACCTGCGTCAGTTGGGTTACTTCACTGCCTTTCATAAATCCTCTCCCGTGGCCTCATGGGATAGTAAAGTGTCCATGCAATGCACACTTCAGAATCCAGGAGGAAGAGGTAGGTCATCCGGGTACTTTTCACCTACTGTTTTTCGAATACTATGAATTTGGACATACTACTCACCTCACATACTGTTTTTCACATACTATATATTAGGGAAGTATGCGTTTTCAGACACAGAGATACTGTTTTCGTTTTTTTTAAAATAAATAAATAAATAAATATTAATAATAATAAAAACACATACATATAAACAACTAAACAATAGTTCAAATTATCTTCCTTCTTCCTTATGACAAAATCAAGGATACAGTGGGGGAACTATACAAGAAAAAAAAATGAAATCCTCCATGAAATCTAACAGTATGTCATTATTTTTGTTGTTAATTTGCATTAGAGACTCTTTCAAAGATTCAATTTCTAATAAAAAAAAATACATTTTGGAATGCATTTTTTTTTTTTTTTTAATGAATGTAATATTTACCTTGCAAAATGTAAAAGATAACGACATACTCAATCACTTTGCTTTTGTGCCGCTTATGAAAGTTGCCTTTATATGTTCGTGTCAGGTGATACATGTTACATTTCTCATCGCTTGTCATGATGGACCAATCACAGCCGTTGCATTTCTTAGATAAGACCTGCTGGTCGATTAGAATTTTTATATGAGACATAAAACTGTTAAACTAATAATTTATTTAATTATATGTTTAATTCTACAAATCTGTCCAATAGCCAAGTCATGCTAAATGTGAATGCGCTTCGGTGGGATTTTGCTGTGTGAGCCTCCACGCTGCACCTGACAGATGTTCGCTTACAATTCCTGTCGACAGAACATTATTTCTCGCCTCTCTTCCCCTTTAAATCGAGCGAGCTTCCCTGTTCACGGCGAACGGGCTTCTGGCGCGCAGCTCCGCCGCGGATCAAAGGGTGACGTGCCTCGGCTTTGATCTGTCTTCACGATACATTCATACGTTCTACAGACATTGAAAGGTATGCTAACTAATAACAGATCTATTTAAAGAACATTTGCATAGAATCTTGCGATCAAACGCGTTTCATTATGTATTCAAGCTCAGATCTTTGATCACATGACAGAATGACAGATCTGATGTTACAATGTTACATTAAGTTACCAATTTAACATATAATTGCGACAATGTGTCAATGTAACAAGAGATCTGAGTGTCATTAATTCATGCTTGTAGTAAAAATGAAAGTGTTCTAAATATTGAATATTGTTTTACATATGTCCTTTCTGTTTTAATGCTTTAAATGTATATGTATATATATATAGAGAGAGAGAGAGAGAGAGAGAGAGAGATTAATTCATTCTAGAGAAATATTAAGGTCTATGAATGAGGGCAAATAAGTCAGCACAAATAATCTAGATTATATATTTATTTAAATTTAATGTTATGTAATATATTATTTAAAATTATAATTGTATTACATTTATATCCTATGTTATATATATATATATATATATATATATATATATATTACATATATATATATTACAAAAAATGATGAGGGGACTAAAAAGAGATTTTTGTATATATATATATTACATTTTTGTATAAATGTAAAAGTGTAAATATATAAGTTAATGATTTATTTTAGTATTGCTTTACCTAATAAATCGCCAAAAATATATACTTTTATTTGATGGTCCCAGCTGTATATACATGCACAAACACATTTCTGTTTTTCTTGCTTAAACATGGTTAGATGATATAATCTGTTCTACTATATTAAAGGCTTTCTGACAAGAGGTCGTGTCAAAAATGCAGACTTATGTGACTTTTCACTGCTGTGTTGTTTAACAGGATGGATTTGGACGTGGTGAACATGTTCATCATTGCCGGCGGGACGCTGGCGATCCCCATCCTGGCTTTTGTAGCCTCCTTCCTGCTCTGGCCTGCAGCTCTCATTAAAGTTTATCACTGGTAAGTGCTCTCTAGATGCTTAAATAGAATTTCAGCATGTCCTCAGAGTTAATTCGTCCAAGGAAAACCATGTGCAGGTGACCTGCATTGCTCAGTACAGACACTCTGGGGAGTAATTTCAGCATTTCAACACTTGATGCTGCCGTTAAACAAGAAAAAATCACACTGTTTATTTTAAAAGCCTTATCATTGCAATCAGTGACAGTTACACAGATCACAGGGACCAAACCATAAGATAAAGATGAAACATGCCTTTTTTTGTGCCATTAGCGATACCATACACATCAGATATGTGGAAAAAACAGCACTATAATGAAACTGTTGTTTCCAGGGTCTTACTATGCGGTTGCTATGGTGTTATTTTCTCATTTAGTATTTATGTCTAATTTAATACAAATGAGTGTTATTTTAGTACCATTGAAAGACTGTGGTGGTTTTTATTAATATTTTTAAATTATTTTTTATTTTTATATTTTCTGTTTTTATTTTAATTTTAGTTAAAGTTTTAGTAATTTAGTTTTGTGTTTTTGCCATTTTTATTAGGTTTTTTTTTTTTTTTTTTAGTATGTTGATAGTTTTAAAAAAAAATTTTTTTTAATTTTTATTTCAGTTTTAGTTATTTTAGTACATCAAGTTAAATGTTGAGAAATGTTGCTTTGGCATCTGTTTATTTTTATTTCAAATAAAAAAAAATTATTTAACTATAATAATCCTTATTAAAAATTAAATATTTAATATTTTGAATTAGTTTTTATGTTTTCCATTTTCATTTTAGTTAAAACTTTTTTATAAATATATCTGTATAGTTTTTATTCATTTTTACTTCAGTTTTAAGTTATTTAGTACATCAAATTAAACGAAACGTTATTGCCTTGGCAACTACATAAAAAAAATAAGTTTAAGGTTTTTTATATTTTATTTTATTTCAGTTAACATTTTTCTGAAATGAAATAAAATTTATAAAATCTAAATAATCTTAAATCAAGAAGATGTGTTTACTTGAGAACCCAAACAGCTTTAGATATGAAGTCTTGTTATCAGCTAAAAATTCTCAAAATGAAGTGGGTTTATTCTTAAAAAAAAAAAAAAAGAAAAAAATCTGTCCATGGGGTAAAAAAAAAGAAACTTATTTTCCCTTTAAATTAAGATTTTATTTTTATTATCGCATGGACAGATTTTTTTAAATTTTTCTTGTTTTAAACAAACTCACTTAATTTTGATACATTTTTCAGAAAACTTAACATCTTAAAAGTAATTTTGCTGCTCAAGTAAATCTATCTTGATTTAAGTTTAGACATTTGTACCGGAAAAGACAAAAACAAAATAGAATTAAAAAAAAATCAAAGTAAGAAAATAATGGTTTCTTGCTAATCTGTCAGGCCTCATGACTGCCTTTTCAGGTTTGGATTATTTAACACGTCTCTTATCTGATGACGGGCGGGTTGTTTAACTGGCCTCTTTTTTACTTCATGCCACTAAACTGGGTGAAGGGTTAGTCAATGCAAAGAGCTCACAATCCATGTCACAATACATATTTACAGCATGCCATTAATTCATATAGCTTTAGTTTTGTGTGTGTGCATTAGCCTGGTACATGCAGTGCTGCATTAGGTGCTGATGTCAGTGGAATCTTATGCAAGCTGCCCAGTAGACTTTGGTTCTCGTAATATCTGGGAGGCAAACTTTGCTCTACATGACACAGTCATCAGAACCGCTGTTTGCCTCTGGGCCAGAAAGACTGATTGATTCCTTCAATGTCACTTTTGGATTGTTTGACATTTGTACCGGAAAAGACAAAAACAAAATAGAATTAAAAAAAAATCAAAGTAAGAAAATAATGGTTTCTTGCTAATCTGTCAGGCCTCATGACTGCCTTTTCAGGTTTGGATTATTTAACACGTCTCTTATCTGATGACGGGCGGGTTGTTTAACTGGCCTCTTTTTTACTTCATGCCACTAAACTGGGTGAAGGGTTAGTCAATGCAAAGAGCTCACAATCCATGTCACAATACATATTTACAGCATGCCATTAATTCATATAGCTTTAGTTTTGTGTGTGTGCATTAGCCTGGTACATGCAGTGCTGCATTAGGTGCTGATGTCAGTGGAATCTTATGCAAGCTGCCCAGTAGACTTTGGTTCTCGTAATATCTGGGAGGCAAACTTTGCTCTACATGACACAGTCATCAGAACCGCTGTTTGCCTCTGGGCCAGAAAGACTGATTGATTCCTTGAACTTCATTGATCATGAACTCGTACAAGCGTTTTATGACAGTGTGTGCCACGTCAAGCATCACTATTACTATTTCTAAAATATATGTTTAGTGCATTTCTGCTCCAGACATTAATTATAAGGCGTAGCATAAAGGAATAGTTCACCAAAAATGAAAATTTACTGAAAATGTGCTCACTTTCAGGCCATCCCAGATGTAGATGAGTTTGCTTCTTCATCAGATTTGGAGGAATGCATTACATCAGTGTCTCAGCAATGGATCCTCTGCAGTGAATGGGTGCCGTCAGAATGAGAGTCCAAACAGCTGATAAAAACATCACAGTAATCCACAAGTAATCCACACCACCTCAGTCCATCAGTTAATGTCTTGAGAAGCCAAAAGCTGCATGTTTGTCAGAAATAAGTTAAAATTTTAGTGCGCTTTTAACTTAAAATCGTCCACAATCCATAATAACGCTTCCTCCAGTGAAAAAGTCCATCTCCTGTTGTCTCTCACATCAAAATCCAGCCACATATTTGTTACATATTTGAGTGTTTTGGACTGTTTTGACATGTAAATGGTGCATGATCTTGTGCAGATTTCTCTCCTGATTCAGATTAGATGACTGTGTCATTGGAGAAAGCAATATTATGGATAATGGACTCATCTTAGCTGGAAGCAACGGTTTAAACGTCATATTTAAAAGTTAAAACATCTTAATGATATATTTGTTTCTTACAAACATGCAGATTTCACTTCTCAAGACATTAATGACTTATATCACCCTGCAGCCCAAGACTGGTTGCCCACTGAAGCTAAGCAGGGTTGAGCCTGGTCAGTACCTGGATGGGAGACCTCCTGGGAAAACTAGGTTGCTGCTGGAAGAGGTGTTAGTGAGGCCAGCAGGGGGTGCTCACCCTGTGGTCTGTGTGGGTCCTAACGCCCCAGTGTAGTGACGGGGACACTATACTCTCAAAAAGTACCGTCTTTCGGATGAGATGTTAAACCGAGGTCCTGACTCTCAGTGGTCATTAAAAATCCCATGGCACTTCTCGTAAAGAGTAGGGGTGTAACCCCGGTGTCCTGGCCAAATTGCCCCCCTGGCCTTTGTCAATCATGGCCTCCTAATAATCCCCATCCACTTGATTGGCTCTATGACTCTCTCTCCTCTCCACCTGTAGCTGGTGTGTGGTGAGCGCACTGGCGCCGCTGTCCTGTGGCTGCCGTCGCATCATCCAAGTGGATGCTGCACACTGGTGGTGGTTGAGGAGAGACCCCCCATATGATTGTAAAGCGCTTTGGGTGTACAACAATACACAATAAAGCGCTATATAAATGCATCATTCATTCATTCATTAACTGGTGGATTACTTGTGATGTTTTTATCACCTGTTTGGACTCATTCTGACGGCACCCATTCACTGCAGAGGATCCATTGCTGAGCAAATGATGTAATGCACAATTTCTATGTGATATGTTTCAATGATGAACAAGTAAACTCATCTACATCTTGGACAACTCTCATGCTAACAGCAAAGCATCAGCATTGTTTTACAGTGCCTTTTTTTCATTTGTAACTCTTTTTGGTGATTTGTTCTACAGGTATTGGCGCAGAAGGCTGGGAATGCAGGTGGATTATGCTGAATATGAAGGATATCGCTTCTGTTACTCTCACAGAGGGACTCCAGGCACCCGTCCGTCCGTCCTCTTGTTACACGGCTTCTCTGCACACAAAGACATGTGGCTCGGTGTGGTCAAGGCAAGAAACCACAGTGGAACAGTTGCTCAACAGTTCAATTCACTATTTAACCAACAAGGATTATTTTTGGTGTTTTTAAAGGTCAAATATATAAAATGCTTAAAAATAATTAAGCATTACTTAAAATAATCAACAAATCACATGGCCTAAAGAGCACGTACTGTATGTGACATGATTTCGAAAGCATAAAATACAAGCATAGTTACATAAATCCTATTGATTGACACTGATACTCAAGAACACATGCTCTTAATGTATGAATCAGATCATGAAGTAAAATAATAGTTTGACTGACTGCATATTTTTTTAATCTTTTGTAGTTTCTTCCTAAAAATATGCACCTGGTGTGTGTTGACATGCCGGGACATGAGGGTACGACCCGCAGCAGTGCTGTGGATTACTCCATCGAGGGCCAAGTCAAACGGATACATCAGGTGGGTATTTTCTGGGGGGGAAATTATATATATATATGTATATAAGGAAGTATCTCTTTAAAAGGGGAAAATGTTCTTGATTTTCAGAGATATGCTCTGGTAAATCTCAGGCACAATCAATTATTTACATAATTGCAAGAAAATAAACAGGATGGAAACAGAGTTAAAGGATTGAGCAAAAGCTAGTAATCGCTCAGTGAGTTAGTTTATCATTTCTGTAATATTATCAAACAGAGAAACCATCTAATGCCGCAAAACATCACAGAGATGATCTAATCCACTGCCATGAAATCCATTTTTACCAAAATTATCATATTTTAGTAAAAGTATATATATATATATATATATATATATATATATATACTGTAAATAATACTTAATATTTAATCATTTTTAATTGCATTTAATATTCAAATTATAATTACATGTATTACATTTTTATGTTACTAAATAATTTATATTTAATTCATTAATTAATGTAACTAATTAATTTGTTTAAAAATTACATACAATAAGAAGAATATATAAGAATATAATAGTAATTAATATTTAATCATTTTAATATTAAAATTATAATTAAAATATTCTTTTTCCAAGTAAATGAAAAAATTAATTCATGAAATATATATATATATATATATAACGTGTATGTGTATATGTGTATGTGTATATATATAATATATATATATATATATATACATATACACACACATGTTATATATATATATATATATATATAAAATTATTTTTTAATTACATTTAATATTCAAATTGTAATTACATTTTTTAAATTTTTATTTAACAATTAAATGTAATTAATAAATTTAACAAATTTATTTGTTTAAATATATATATATATATATATATATATATATATATCAGAACATTTCACATTTTCATTTAGTTTAACTCGACTAAAAAAAACTTAAAATTAAAACTGAATGAATAAAATAAAATAAAATTAATAAAATCTATATAAATATAAATTAAAACAATAACTAATGTCAAAAACACACAACAAAATTACTAAAACTTTAAATTTAAAATGAAAATATCTTTTAATTAGAATAGTATCACAGTGATACTAAAATAACACTGTTCTTATTTTCCAACCTCATACCTGCGTTAATATCCCATGACATGTACTTTGTACCAAGGAAAAAATGTTGATGAGACCAGTGTAAGTGAAAACAATAAAATACTGATATTGTAAGAAGAATGTAAGAGGTTACTTGATTGTGACTTTCTTGATTAAATAAGATGTCAGGTAGATAAAAGCATTATTTTCAAAAGTCACAGAATAGATCATGAGCAACCAATCTGGCTTCAGAAGTGGACATTCGACCGAAACTGCCTTGCTTTCAGTTGTTGAAGCCCTAAGACTGGCAAGAGCGGCTTCCAAATCTTTTATACTTATTTTGCTGGATCTGTCCGCTGCTTTTGATACGGTGAACCACCAGATTCTCTAACAGACATTTCTTGTTGGATGACGGACCATCACCTTCAACTCAACCTGGCTAAGACAGAACTGCTTGTGGTTTCAACAAACCCATCACTTTATCAAAATTTCACCATCCAGTTAGGCCCATCAGCCATAACTCCTTCAAAAACAGCTAGAAACCTTGGAGTTGTGATTGATGATAAGCTGAATTTCTCAGACCACATTGCTAAAACTGCCCGGTCCTGCAGATTTGCTTTATACAACATCAAGAATATCAGGCCCTTCCTTTCAGAACATGCAACACAACTCCTTGTTCAAGCTCTTGTTCTGTCCAGGCTGGACTATTGCAATGCTCTCTTGGCAGGTCTTCCAGCCACTTCTATCAAACCTCTACAATTAATCCAAAATGCCGCTGCAAGATTAACCTTTAATGAGCCGAAAAGAACACGTCAC